CATTGAGCCAAACGGCTCAATATTTTTGTAGGCCATCTTTTTTTTTATCGTGTTTTTGATCATATTATGTTAAGGTTCAAGTGCAAAGGAAATGGATATTCAACAGGTATACCTAATTAAATAGATAAAGTTTGGCGATCTCCAGATTGAAAACGCCCCAACTGCGAGAGTTTTCGTAAATAAAATATTTGTAGGTTATGGTGATATGAAGCTATTTATTAGACGGATGTTAGTAATTTGATGAAAAGTGGTCTGTACCATGGACTAATTGATTTGCGTCAAATTTTGACTGGGAATAGGTGTTTCTTATTCGATTGTCGTACTACATCGATTAGCAAGCTATAAGCGATTTTTTTTCAATTAATGGATAACCTAAATCATTCCATGTTATTAAATAGTAATAAGTCATTACAGTGAACTTGGTGGTTATTTGAACATGAAGTTTATTCTCAGATATATTACATCCTGTCATAGCCCTTTTTATTTTTTAATTATTACAGATAATAGTTTAATTTTACTTCATTAGTTTTGCTTAGTTAGAAGTCTGACAAAACAAAATATTATTCTTTATTGAACTCAGTTATTATTTGATGAAACACGGTTGGACGCTTGATAGTGTTTATCTTTATCAGGATTATCAATAACTGGAGAAGAATTACAGAAAACATTGTTGGGCGAATTTATTTTAATTCTTTTCTTTTTTTTTAATTTCCAATTGTTAATAACCAAACTCTGCAGAGTGAAATTTAGAACAAAAAAGTTGATTTAATGCAGGGAGAAAGAAAAAGGAGTAAATACTAATTTTGTCACGGTTTTTATTTAATAAGAAGGAATTTCTCAAGAACTGTTCAAGTTAATTAAATTTTAAGTTCATCATCTTAAAGTAGAGAAAATTTTAATGAGAAAACAGTTATTAAATTTAGCGATTTCAATGAAAATAGGGACTTTAAATTTAATAAGGTCAATGATAAAAGGAACTTTCAAGAGTTGTATTAAGGCCGATATAATGCTACAGTTACAGTACACATACCCCAGCAGCATATCAATTTTCAGAAGCCTCGGAGGGTTATCAGGAATTGAAGAGGAAGCAAGGTTAGAAACGACAGGGTTTGGGATGATTCTCAAGTTTGTTATGGAAGGATACGTATCTGGATTGGACCAGATCTAAAACATAAGAAACATTAAGGTCATTATGGATGGTTTTATTTGTAACAAGGTAGGGAGCATTGAGGATTTTACGAAGGATTTTGGATTGTAAGGATTGGATACGAGAGGAATTTTATGGTTTAGTCGAGCCCCATAGCTGAACTCCGTAAGTCCAAATAGGGCTTATTATAGTCATGTTTATGAGTCTTCTGTAATTAATTGGAAGTTTAGAGCGTTTGTCTAGTAAGTGATCATGTAATCGGAAACGTCGAGAAGTTTCTTGTCGTTTCAGTCTGGTATAAATCATACTTTACACAAGTTAAAACGAAAAAGGAAAACTGATTTGACTCCATTTTCTAAAAATATTATCTGAAATTGGATTGTTTCCAACTTTTGTCCGATTCTCAATTGACAAAATTGTACTTCTTAATCTTTACTGAACAGTTTTTAGATTTCTAGATAATGATGGTGCACATCATTGGAAAATCAGTATGCTCTTTCAAATCTCTCCTCTTCGAACACCTACTCCATTCCGAATCCGATTGATCACAAAATGCACTTAAAAACCTAACTTGTAAGAATCTCAAAGTACACCTAAATACTTTGTGATTCAGTAATATTTTGTTTACTTAATTTATTTTATCTGTTTATTTTATATTTATACACGTTTTTATATATTTTTATTATCTATGATATTATTGTATTCTTATTCATCCTGTAAATATTTAATTGTATTTTATGGACACACCAGAATATTAATATACATTCTGTATTTGTAACTTCTTCTAAAGGCACCCTAGTCCTAGAATAATAAAATTATTTTTATTCATTCATTCCACATAGTTATACAAGAATTCATAAGAAAACTCAACGTACATAAAATTGTCAAACAGTATCATTGTCCTTAGTAAATTTGTTAACTGTTCTCGAAGGAAATTTGGTCTACTTTACAATGATGAACGTGTAATTTAATTATCTTGAACAGTTTTTGAGTAATTCCTTCTTATTTAATAAAAACCGTGACCACCTTAAAAAAACAACAATAAAAAGTTTATCATAACTCTTTTTCCGTTCGGTATTGGCCCATGCATCAAATGAACTATTTTGTTGGAATTTTGGAATCCTCCGCCCTCACAAAGTTTGATCATTAACAACTGAGACATACTGTATAATAGTACAAGGTAGCATTTTCCGCAAATGCATCTTTGTAGGTTAATTTGCTTCAGATTGTGGCTCTCATCGTTCTTGTCCAAAGCTCTTTAATTTAATTCTGTTAGCTTTCAAATTTTGTCAACTCAAATAATTTAATACTAATTGAACCGTTTATTTCGAAAGTGGCCTACCTCCATTTATCTTCGAATCGAGATATTTAAGGGTTTGCGTTTCAATGAATTTAAAAATATAAGTATATGATACTTATGAGTCATACTGCTTAAGTTTATCTAAGAGTGTTAAATTTATGATTCCTATTAAAATAGTAGCAATTATTAAGTGAATAATGTGCGTTTTCTTATCAAGAATGGTGTTAGACCACTTTCAAAATTAACAACCAGATTCATTATAAAATTTGAAGGTATACAAATCCATTCAACATAATTTAAGATGCTTCGAATTGAAAAACACTGTACTCGATTTATTTTACATATCTTTAAAACACTTCGGAAACACAATTTATGCGAAAAACACTTTTCAATTACAGATTATACAAAATTACAAACATTTTATTAACAAACAATTTACTATTCCTCTACATTTTGCGAGTGTGAAAGGGTTTTGAAGTAGTCATGATGTTACGGTGGTATATATCGCAATAGGTCAATCACGTCCTTAAATTTTGTTGTTGTAATTTGTCTGATATTTTTATAGAGTGGTGCCAATACAATATTTTCGAATTTTCTTGATCTACCCCGACGTGGTAATAAATTCAGGGCTTTAAAATTTTCATTCTCATTCGTTGTTGTCTTATAGAAAATTTTATACGGTTCATTTATGATAAAACGCATCCAAATTATTTGTAACCAGTTTAATGATTCTTCATCAGAATTCTTTATCCTTTTAAAAGTTGCCTCTTGTAATAATTTTGTTGATACAAAATCTTTTTGTCTCATTTCATTTACAATAAAATTAACAAATAAAATTTTCATTTCCAACATTATCAATTGTAAATATCTTGATGTAAGTATAAAATAAATGAAGTTAGGCCACTTTCAAACTACACGGTTCAATTATTGAATAATTCTGAAAACTTATGTGTAAAAGATTTATCTCGTATTTGCTCGGAATATAAGCAACCTGAAATGTTTTACTGATATATAGTATGAAGTTGTACATGTAACCATGGTAAGTGGCAAAAAATTGAATAACGGAATTAGGCCACTTTCAAACAGTGTTGCCAAACGGATCCTCGTATTTGTACGAGGTTATGACGTAATGTACGAGGTACGAGGATAGATCAGCCTCGTACCTCGTACATAAGTTTTGCTGACGTATACAATGCAAGGTTATATTTTTATGAATGAAGTTTAGAATTGTTTTAAGGTTATTTTGACTGTATTATTATTTATATTGATATGAAATACTGAACTTCTTTTGCTTTCTAGACATATCAATTGCAATTATATTCTTCTTTAATTAGAGTATGATTATTATTTCCTTCATAAAACCATGATTGTATATATATATATTTTTTTTTTAATTTTCTTGAAAATAAAATTTAAAAAAAAATATTTTAGATTTTATTCAGTATAAAATAAAATATAAGAAACCATATCCATTATTTCCTTCATAAAATTTTTTTTATAAATATATATTTTTTAAAATGTGTTGTAAATAAAAAATCAAACAGAAATTTTTACTGTCATTTTTATCGAGCATAAAATAAAATACGAGAAAGTATATCCATTATCTCCTTTGTAATTATTATTTCCTTCATAAAACTGCAATTGTAAATATATTCTAGATAAATTAAATTTTTTTTTAAATTATTAGCGTAATTAAAAAAAAATTCGATTTTTAATGGAGTAAAGTAATTAATTGAAAAATTAATTAGTATTCATAATGAACCTATCTTAAATAATGAAAAAAAAAGTATTTTTTCAGTGGTCCACATTTATTTTGTGCGAGATCTAATTGTAAGCTAAATACTGAAACAATCACAATCTATTATTTTTTTATATTATAATATGTCTAAAAGCATCAATGCCAAATAATTAATTTTTATTGTCCTTCTAGAACCACTAACATCCTTTCATAAAATTAGTTGTTTTGTTTTTAGAAAAAAGAAAAAAATTAGCCTTTCTCCCAAATTAAATCTTGGATCTACTAATGAATACTTATAAGAGTACTTTAAGAAGTTTATTTAGCTATTTTAATTTTTATATAACGTTTTCAGTAGTTTATAAAAATATATAAACTTGTTTATATATTTTATTAAGCTAATTTTACTGCTTGACCAATTAACTTTAAAAAAAGTAATCTAAAAAGGCTTTAAAATATATGAATGGAGGTAAAAATGAAAATTCTGATCTAATTTTACTTTAAAAAAAAACAATAACACTGGCATTATAACAGTGCAAGTTATGAATGAAGCAAGCGTACGAGGATGTACGAGGCTTGAGTACGAGGTTTTGTCACAGAGCGCGCGGTAACACTGTAACGGAGTCCACTTTCAAACGGCTCAATCACTTATACCGCTTAATTATTGAAGACCGCCTAAAATATTCGGAGGCCATTATACTAAAATAAATGGCGTTATACTTTTGGATTATGAAAAATAAATTTCCAAATCACCATCCTTGATACATGTAATTGAACAGACAAATCAATAAATATATCATTGATAATATTTGTTTCAGAAACGATTCACATGGCTCCCAGGAGTGAAACCTAACGCCATTGATGAAGCAACAACCACTGTCCTCAACCGATGCGTTCCAGAATCGTCTGCTGATATCGTCGTAGGCCATGTAAGATATATTTTTTATTTATTTATTGAATATTGCAACATTCTGTCACTTGGACATTAAGTATAGTGAGGTCATATATACACATACACATGCACATATACATACATATATAAAATAAACATAAGCTAAATAATAAATCAAATATAATCAAAAAATAAAATAAAATAACTTAAAAATAAGGAAATAAAAAAAAATACGTATATACCTATATACACCATTTACAATCAGGCGATAGAACTCCGAGGAATTAGTTACATTAACCCTTTCCTATAGGCAATGGAACTATTAAAAGCTAATATCTTTTTAATAACAATAGTTTTACTCGATTGAAACTGAGACAAGATTTATCTATTAGATCATTACTAAAAACAGATTAAAATTATTGCGAAAAGACCTCCCAAAGAGCCATTTGTTAAAAAAAAAATTAATTTAGCACACTATTATCCTTTTGCCCTATGCAACTTATTTTTTATATCTTTTATTCTCAATTATGTATATTCTCAGAATAAGCTGCCTATAAGAAACGAAACGGGACCTATTAAAATAAAATGAAACATACTTGTCAACTATGAATAAGCTGAATGCGTTCCCTTTAAGTCCCTCATATAAGATGTCATAAGCGATATATGCAATAATTTTAAGAATCAGTATGCCTAAATGCCCTAATTTAAATAAAAAGATCACAACATTTTATTAAATTAATATAAACATTTAGTTATTTTTTCAGCAGTTTCACTTTATTATTTATTTATATTAACAATCTCAGTTTCAATTGCCAAATTCAAAAATAGTTCACATCTCTTTGATAAATATACCATATTCATATGTTAATAGGAAACCAAACCTAGCTATCCAAAAATTTAATATCTCTCTGCTATGTTTGGTTTCCGTTAACCAAAACTATAGACTATGGACTATGGACTATAACCCCAACTAATTCCAACTGAACAGGACTTCAGAAGATCAGACCATTGACAGACAGTCCAATATATGCAGACTACAAAAGGACGCGGAGCCACTGCCGTTTTAAACTTCTTAAAGGATTATGGTAAGGATGGTGCTTGATAGGGATTGTACAAGAGGATTAGGATAATACGTGAGGTTCTGGTGAAATTTTCTGGGATAAGGTATAGGAAAAATGGGATGTTGAGGTCATGATGTAGGGTTTTGTTGGTTACATAGAAAGGGGCATCGACTATTGTTCGATGGACTTTGGGCTTTATTACTAGATTATTACAAGGAATAAATCTTAACCTACCCACTGCGGTTAAAATAGATTCATTTGCCAGAAATGGAGAGGTAGGTAACCGAAAAAAAATAAAGTACAAGGAAATTTATTATATTTTCTCAATTTTTTTAGTTACCCCTTATATTTTTGTTATTAATATAGTACTCACTAAAGTGCTTAATGGTTATATAAACGATACGCTGAATAGATCGTCTATTTCATATTTAAAGCAATGCAGCAATAAAAGTGAGTCGGTTTGAATATTGATGAAATCATGTTTTTTTTTTCTTCTTCAAACATATTTGAAAAAAAAAATTAGTAGAGGAAATTATAAAATTTGTTCCATACTTCTTTATTTTGTTTTGCTTTTATTTACCTTATGTTAATATCAACGTAATATTTATATAACGTAATGTTAATTGGCCTTTGGAGGTAAAGGGATATATGCAGTTGGGCACGTTTTATTAGAATAAAAAATAAATTAAGATATTGAATGAATTTATCTATTATTTATCTAATTATCTAATTTATTGATTAAACCAATGAAAAATAATCTGTCGATTGACATTATCTACAGAACATTGTGATGTCTCTAAAAATGGGCAAGGAATAAGGAATATATATATTTTTTTTTACATTCACTTACCTATACATGAAATATATATTGAGTGTAAGTATGAGAGCCTGATTGCGATATTGCTTAAGACCGCTTTTGATAATTCAATTTATAATCTTTATCTTCTGCTGGACTAATTTAGAGTCAACCAGTTTGATATTTATTATAATTCCATGTAAAAAATGGCTTAAATCAATTCTTTGAAATACATAAATAACGGTTATATGATCTGTGAAATACCCTTCCCGATATCCCACCGCAACAATTTTTCTTTTCGTTTTGTAGCACTTTTTATATTCTTTAAAGTAATTTAGGTCACATTTTGCTCAGATTTGCGCTACGCACTTCTTCTTCTTTTGCCCCCTCCTTAGTGCCATCAGCGTGGAGGAAAAGCCTCGACCCTTCTTGTCGACTGATCCCTGTCTCCTTGATGGCCCTCCCTCCTTCTCATTGGTGCTACAGGCTCGCCAATGGCGAGTCGTCAAGTAGTCTCAATACAATAGCCTGGACCTGCCTCTAAGTCGGCTTCCCTCTAGTTTTGGTTCTAGTAACCATTTTGCCGTTCGGCTATCACCTATCCTGTACACATGGCCAAACCACTTCAGTTGGATCCGATATTTCCGAAGGAACTATCCGAAGGTCTTACTGTACGCATCAAAATCTTCAAGGTCCAATTTGTCCCGCATCGATCTACATACCTACCACCGTTCCATTATTGAAGCCTAGCAAAATGTTCGTATCGACTTTATTTATTTTAGAAAGAAAAACAAAAGTGGAGAATAAGATTCCCTAACCCCCCGTGAAATTCTGAATCCAACGGTACCCCATTCATGGTATTTGAGCATGGCAGGAGCTTATATTTGGTACAAAACCGATTTCGAGCCTTACTGTAATAATATATGTGGGGATATTAAGTAGTTTAAACCATAAAAGTTTTATTTTTTTATTTATTTTTGACGAATACATGATTTCCAATCGAAAATTATGTTTATTATATAAAATTATTGTTTAGTACTTCTTTAAAGTTCTAGGAAATATATATGTATTTTTACCATAAATTAATGTTATATTAAGAAATTTTAACCATAAAAGTCTGTATTTTATTTATTTGTGACGAATAAATGATTTCCAATCGAAAATTATGATCATCATATATAGTAATTTTTTTCTCACTATTTCTTAAAATAAAATATGGATTTTTTTTTGATTTTTTTTTTATCATAAATTAATGTTATAATATATAAAAATGTAAGCTATTAAAGTCTTATTTATATTTATTTGTGACAAATACATGATTTTCAATCGAAAATTATGGTCAATGAATTTTTTCCTCCTAGATCGGTCATCGGCCTCACGTCCTGCCCGCGAGCACTTCGGATTCGTCCCGCGAAAGTTTCTTCGATTAAATGGTAAAATTTTAAAAACTATTAAAAAATTATGAAATTTATTAAATTACTCACACAAAAGGTTAGTACAACATTTATTACTTGTTTTGTTTCTATGAGAAACGAAACATCAAGTGTCATTTATAGAACATGATTTTTTTTTTCCGCGCGTGATGGCCCTAACCACCCCTTTATCTAAGGTTTCAATGTAGCCTGTAGGACTCAGTAGAGGTCACAATGTGGTCCACTGGCCAAAAACGTTGGAGACCTCTGCTCTAAGATAAAATTTCTATTTTGACATTTCGGATAATAAGGTGCTCACTAAATCGTAACCTATTAAACTATTTATTTCCTTCTAGGAAGAGTTGGAATTAGAACTATCAGATTAATAAGCCTGGACGAATGCTAGGTAAAGTAAACATGAACTTGAAGTATTTTGAACAACTTACGGTTATAAAAACCATAACCGTTTATTATTTTCAATAATCAGCCTTTGTAGAATGCAACTTATCAGAAATAAGTATTTTCATATAAAGGGTAACTGAAAGTAAAAATTATAAACGCTATATTGATTTATATTTCACTGTGGATATTTTTATTTTTATATCGCTGTAATCTATACAATTAAATATTAAATAATATCGACGAAAATATTTAGGAAAACCGCATATGTATTTGTACATAATATTGTCGGAGTCCGTATTATATTAAGCTCATATTACTAAGCCTGTTCTAATCTTCGGGTCAGCTCGGGTGAGCTCGGTCGCGCTCGTATCCCTTTGGTTCCTTCATTACAACTATTCTCCGTTACGATTTCTTATTTCTCCTTTAGTTAATTATCTAATTCTTTCATATTTTATATTTAACTATTTTTTTTTATATTAGAGATCAATGTGAAATTTTTAATTGTTAAAAAATAAATAAATAAAGGTACTTTAAATGAAGCTAACATTGTAAATTAGCCATTCAAGATCTGTTAGAGAACATCAACGAGGATAAAACCTATATAATATTAAAAACTGCTTAATTTTACACTGACTTAATGAATTTAATCAAAATCGTTGAAGCCGTTTTTGAGAAAATACTAAAAATGTGTTTCATCGATGATATAAAATGCCACTTACGGTTATCCAATTTTAACAAAAGAGTTGCTGTAACATCGCAGGTATATACAAAACTTAAATATGCAATGTCGCTTTCATGCGGCTTTTCGTTTTTGAGCTAGACCTGTCACATCCATACACACAGTCACACGCACACACAGACCATTTGCGTCTTGGTTTGCGTCTTGGACTATTGCGGGACTTGGTTATTTGGAATCAGGATATCTCAAAACATGTATTTCCGTTGAAAACTCAGATTAAAAAATTTTCACGATCGCAATACTGTCCCGTTCTATATATTTCATATATAGGTAAGTGAAAGTAAAAATCCGTCCGCCATCCGCGGCTTTTCTCCGAGACTACTGAACCTATTGTTTTGAGATTTGGTATCAATGTTATAGGTCACCCGAGGATGATCCTTTTAACTCGATATTACCATCCGTCCTTTCTTTTCAAGATGGCGGACGAAAATCTTGTGTCGCTATAGACTTTAGTGCCTGTATTAATGTGCCGATTTTAATTAAAATAAGTGCAAGTCTTTTCGTAGCCCTTTAAATTTTTGTATATAACATACAAAGTAAACTTGCTTAAAGTTCTTCTTTCGAAGCTTTTTTTAATTTATCTATTTCGTATACTTCACAGAATGGTCATTTAAAAGTTTACGAAATTTCGAAAAAAAAAAAAAGAAAAATCAGGAATCGTTGAAATTGAACGATTAAATGCAAATATATATGATGTTCTAAATATTTTTTACACGTTCTGCTGCTAAGCTGGTATTCTGAGTTTTTATATTTGGAAAATCATATATTGCTGGAATCAATCGAGATTGTTTTGTTTTTTTATTTCTTAGTAAATTACTTGTGTGATGATGAAAAAAATAAAACATATTATTTAGCCTAATATTTGGAATATAACTTGAATCGAACGGACATCTCTCAATAAATTAACCATAGGATAATAAGCGTTAAGAGGTGCTGCTACCACAGCTCATGCAAAAACTTCAGGAGCTGGTATCTTTGAAGGAAGACAAAAATCAGCCTGTACAAAACTATAGTCCGTCTAGTACAAATTTATGGATTGGAGACATGGGCCATTAAGAAGGCGGATGAAAAACGGCTCTTGGTGTTCGAAAGGAGGATATACGGATCCATCAAAGTAGGCGAGACATGGAGAAGACGAAAGAACCAAGAATTATACGAGCTCTTTGAAGATAGCCAGATCTCCAAAGTTATAAGACTTCGATGGGATGACCATCTAGCCACAATGGATAATGGCGAGATTCCGAAGAAAATGGCCACCGAAGAGTTCTTAGAGACAAAGAGGGTGGGACGACCAAACGTAATGTGGGACTCTCTAATCCTGTTCTCGGTGACGTGTTGTTACGCCGCACAGTGGACCGAGTAATGGAAAACCTGTGACATAAAATAAAAAAAATGTTTTATCTATAACCCTAAAAACGAAATAAACTATTTAATTGATTCCTTAAGCAGTTTGTGAGAATATTTTTAGTTAGCAGAATGAACATTTTATACTGTTTTTAGTAAATAGTTCAATTGCAAACCTAGGAATTTCGCGTGATTTATAAAATTGCTTGGTTAGAGCTGATGGTTGATATTTTTTTCTTGAAACTTTATACTCTTTTTACTGCCATTCTGATTAATTACAAAAAATATATATAATTATTTTTAAAACTTGTTTTACTTCGAATCTTTTTTTGTTAACAAAAATAGGTGTTTTAAATCAATTTTTTACAAATACTGCTATTTAAAAAAATCCTCCGAAAAAAATTTATTTCTTACGACTTTTTAACAGTTATTGTTATAGATAAATATGTATTAATTTAAACCGCCATATTTCACCCGAAGGTAGTTAAAATATATTTAAAATTATTTTTGTATAAATAAACGTTCGAAAAATTTCTGTATATGTATACTAATATCTCCTATAAAGGAAGGAGATGGTCCGGGGTTGCGGTTATAAAAAAGGCTAAATAGTGGTTAAATCTATTTTATTGAAAGCCGAAAGGCTTTCAATAAAATAGTTTTACCACTATTTAGCCTTTTTATGACCGCAACCCCGGACCATCTCCTTCCTTTATAATGCAACGGTCAACCATTAAATATTCAATATCTCCTATAATTAGACATGTTCTCAAATTTATTTTTAATAATTGTATTGAACATAAAGAAAAAAAGTTCTGCAGTTATTTATTTCGAAACATAACTCAAATCATAACAATAAAAAAAAGTTACATTGAACATTAAATCTTCGTTTTTATTGTTTTAAAATTTAAATTTTGTCTGCCTAGATAAGAATTAAACTTTTATATTATTGTTTTAACATTATGTAACCATCCTTTATTTTCGCTCTAATCTAAATAAATAAACAAATATAACACTGTTCAATGAACTAAAGTTTAAAATTAAATAAAAATTGGGGTCAATGGGTACCGGTATAAGATGGCCTCAAGGAAAAAAAAACAACTTTTATTTACTTGTTTCAATAAGATTACTGTCTGTTAGTAATAAAATATAATTATTTGTAATCTTAAACCCTTATTCTTTTTACATGTTATATTATTTCGTAACGATAAATTGAATTTGAGAATATTTGGTTGAATTTTTTTTTCTTGATCTACGTCAGTTGTTGTTAATATAATTTTTAAAATTAATGAAAAAATTACATATTTTTTCATCGGTAAATGAAATGAAGAAGTATCGATGGTGTTCAAGATATCATTATAGGTGGTTTTTTAATTTTTTTTGTAATAAGAATAAAATATTTTTTTTATTATTATAAAATGAATAATTATAATTAATAAACAATACTCTTTTTAAGTTATTACATATAACTTAAAATATATACATACATTCATTATAATTATATTTTGTGATTTATTGTCTTTTTAATATTTAAAAAAAAAATTAAATAACGGTTATATGTAGTGATACAGACAGTAGTTATAAATAGGTATCTAAAATTATGCATTTTATGAAGTCTCTGTCATTTTCGAAGTTTATCGTAATTTTTTTTTAAAAACTTATTTATTGAGAGATATTAAAATCTGTTACTTTTAAGGACATTTATAATAGTGTTCAAAGAGCACATTCACAATAAATAAAAATAATAATACTAAAAGCAAATGTATATAAACTAAACTAAACAAAAAGGAACTAATCTAATGAAAGTAACAACTAAAATACATACTATACTGAAATAAATACATAATACATAATGCTTCTATGCAATATATTGTAGTTTATTGTCAAATTTAAAAATTTCCAGGTTTAAACATTTTTTTTTGTGGAAATTTTCTGATTTTGTCATACTATTCGTGTTCCTTGGCCTTTAAAACGTAAGTGTACTAAATATCAAGTTAATCCGATATAATTTACGAGTTCTAGGTCCATGTCCATGTCCATCTATGTATTGTATATGCATGTATGTAATATTGTGTATATATATATGTAATATTAGGAACCACCTTTTATTTATTTTCCTCTATGCGACAAGAAAAGTAGTGTTACATTTCATGTATAACTGTTTGGAATTAATAAAGTATTATGTAATAATTTGCAGCTTTTTTTCTCGCTAGATTTAATTTCTTGCCCAATGTGCATTGTTTACTCATATCATAGTTTCTGACTCTTATATCTCTTTGCTTTTTGTTATCTCAAGTAAATAATTAATGTAAATAATTATTGTTTAGAAAATCAAAGACAAGTCAGTGACAGCTAACCTCTCCGGCCTGATGGAGAACAGGATCTCGATCGAGCAGTCCCGCTGCAGCACTTCCAATTCGGAAGTTACCGTCCTGACGAGCGATATGCCCCTAAGAAACGATATTAGCGAGGATCAATGACACCCTTCCCTGAATAAGAAATCCTAAATAAATATTTTATCTAAACATCTATGTTCATGTTTTTCTTATTTTATTTTTTTATTTGTTCAGTAGTAGGTACATTAATTTTATACAAGATATTAGAAAAAAGACTCCTCAAAACAATAGAAGATGATTTGGAACAAGAACAAGCTGCTTACCATTCCAAAAGACAGAGCATGGACCACATATGTTTTTAAAAATTATGGACCTATTCATCCCTCTTTCCTTGGTCCTATCGTTTACACAGTTTATACAGCTGATATTCTAATCCATCCTAACACTGTCATCACTACGTATGCTGATGACACATGTATCCTATCAGTTAATAATGATCCAACAATTGCATCCAAACTCTTCAATCACACATCACAAACCTTGAAGAATGATGTCAAAACTGGAGGATTAAAATAAATTCCAATAAATCCCATCAAATCACCTTTACCCTTCCTCGGAAACCATTGACTTGCTGTCCTATAGTATCGTTTAATAACACCCCACTTATCCCTGTAGAACAAATCCGATACCTAGGACTCCACTTGGACAAACGACTCACATGGAATCCTCATACCAGACTGAAACGACAAGAAACTGCTCGACGTTTCCGACTACTCCAACAATTACTAGACAAACGCTCTAAGCTTTCAATCAATTATAAACGATTCATATATATGACAATAATAAGGCCTATTTGGACTTACGGAATTGAGCTTTGGGGTTCCACTAAACCATCGAATTCCTCTCGTATCCAATCCTTACAATCCTTCGTAAAATCCTCAACGCTCTTTACTTTGTCACAAATAAAATCATCCATAAAGATCTTAATGTTCCATATGTTTCCGAGTCGACCCAATCCAGATACCTATTCTTCCATAAAAAACTCCAGAATCATCCGAACCCTCTCGTTTCAAACCTCCTTGATCTTTGATAACCCTGAAAAGAAGATGGCTTCGTGATCTACTTATGTAAATATATTATTAGAGTGCTACCAATGGGTAGTTTCTCAACAGGCGTTTTCATGTTATTGTATTATTACTGTGTGCACATTTACTAGTCGTATTTTTTTATAATATAGTTGTAAATATCAATGAATAAAAAAATAAATAAATAAATAAATAAAACAAAATAAATAAAAATTATGGTGGTTCGGGACCGAGAGAAGAATGCGTACCCTTCCCACAAAGAGATTTGGAATGCGCTAAGTTGAAAGTGATTCCTCCAAACCTAATGGATGCAATAAAATCAGCATATCAAGAATCTAAAGGAGTAGTGCATTTAAACAGACAACAATCCAAACCACTGACTCCATTCAACCCAACATCGATGGCGCATGAACCTCATTCACTCCTAACAATATATTTTATTGTTCTCCTCTTCCTAAAGGAGTGTAATCTAAAAAAGATTACTTTCCTCTTGTCTTGTGATTTGAAAATTTTCATTCCAAAAATTTAAAACGCCGTCAAAATGTCCCCCTCAAAAATTCTGATGGAGCGACTTGCGCCATAAAACCTCTGCACCCTTGCACAGTGGGGCGAACCTATGAATTTGGGGGACATAGGACCAATATCTGAAATTTCGAATTTCCTCATATTTCTTTTTTTTTTTGTTCAGCTGTTCTTCTTAATTTCTATTATGATTGTCCATCGTCAGTTTTCTTTTAATTAAAAATTTCCACCTAAGATATCTAATTAAAATGACCATCCATGAAAAATATCCTTTTTTTAAAAAAAGTACCACAACTATTTTGATGAACCGAAATTAATGAATCATCTTTATTACGATAATTTAACTTTATTATCATAATTTAAGTTTATTCAGCTTGAACTTTTATAGACTCTTAAAGTTTTTTTAATGAAAAACATAAAAAAAATTTAAAACATTCATAACGAAAATCGTTCAGAAATCTACCTCGACAGAAATTAACTAGAAGGCTTATAGTTTATTTTGCATTAATAATTATCTACGTGTTCGTGCCTGTTTACAAGAAAAAACAATTTTTTTTTTTTAATTGTTTTCCTTTTAGCTCTTGATTTTTTTCAGAAGTTGCCCCTATAAATTCCAGTTTCTTTTTTTTAAATGTTTGTTTATACTTTATGAACGTATTATTGTCTGTAATCCTCATGAATTGTAAAAACTAGAAAGTCAATAAAGAAATAAAATTCTGTATCAGAATAGCATTAATAACAATATGAACAAAAATCGCGATGTTTTTTATTTTTTTAAGAACAAACCATATAAGTTTCAAATATTATGACCGGGCATATGGACAGTGGATCCACGATCTTGTACTAGAAAATATTCCTAAGAAATAGGAGGTCTGTGTGCGTGAAAAAATTCGCAATTTTTGTGATAATTTGTGTTCGTATTGGGTAAAATTGATTAGGAATCTATCTGAATTTTTAAAAGCTAACGAAAATTGGTTAAATTTAGATTTTGTTGTTCTTCATGAATTAAATTTTGATCTACTTTCATCGTCTTAGCTTTTACTAACGTTCCATCCCGTTCTCATTCTTTTATGTGTTATCTGATAGGCAAAAGCGAAGAAAAACTCAAGAGTTAAGAGAAGCGCCGGATGATATGTTTTTATATTCCATGAAAAAAAGATTTAAATCTGATGATGGTTTCTTTTTTACGGTCGAAAATGACCAGTTTAAAACAAGAATTATCACCTGATGCTCTAAATTTGTTGATAAATTAATTTTTTAGTTCGTGTTTTTTTATTGTCAATTGAATGGTACCTAATCTTATATGGAAAACGGGGGTTTCGATTCGCCGAAAAACCCCGTAACCCTTTTTTATGGTTGCTCGAAACAAAACAAGTAACCCAAGTAAAAGTTGCTGGAAATAGGGTGTGGAATCAATTTACTAAGTTAAATCATAGGATTTAAAAAAAAAAAAAATCTTCTGAGCCACCCTTTATATCAAAATTAAAATCTGAATACAGAAATCGATTCCTCGTTAAAAAATAATGGTGGTTTATGTTTAACTTTTTTGGTACGGCTAACAGTCTGGCCAAAAACTACGATGTCCAATAATTTGGTATTCTGTTTTGAAAAAGGAGTCAAACAAGGCGAAGCCCCCTCTCTTCATTGCATTCTTAAGTGAATGCAATTATTACTGAATTACTAAAATTATGTTTGAAGAATACCCCAAACTAAATCTCAAAGCAAGAGAAGAATACCCTAACTATTGTCGGATACAACTATCTTGATTTTGGCCATCCCATTTATATCCCATTTAAACTAAAATATATTGCTGTAGACCTCTCACAAAGCCATCCAAATACATAATAAGAATATATCATTATTTTGCTATTACTTTAATTTTAATTTATTGTTTTATATTTTTTACTAGTAGGCCCGTGCGAAAAATTCGCACAGCATATTGTTATCAAAAGCCAAATTAATAAGAAAATAAAATAATACAACGTTTCAAAATATAAAGTAATCAATTGTTACTTTTTCGATAAATATAATCGACAAATAAAAACAAAAATTAATTTAAATCTTCATTCATGTTTGTAACCAACATGTTTACAAATTCAAAAAACTGAATCTTTTCTAAAAATTGTCCGATTTCGATACTTTTTTTGTATCCTTTTGTAGGGAATTCAGTAATATTTTATATAATCATGGGCATAACCATTTTTTTTTTTTTTTTTATTTCTTTATGACATTTACAATTGTATTACATAAATACATCAAGTAAATTTGGACATAATTGATATAATCACATGAATACACTTGCTGAGTAACTACCCAATGGTAGCACTCTATTGATATGACTACATTAGAAGATCACGGGGCCATCTTCTTTTCAGACGCCTCGGAGGGTTATCAGGAATTGAAGAGGAAGCAAGGTTAGAAACGAGAGGGTTGGGATGATTCTGAAGTTTATTATGGAAGGACATATCTGGTTTGGGCCAGATCTGAAACATAAGGAACATTAAGATCTTTATGGATAATTTTATTAGTGACAAAGTAAGGAGCATTGAGGATTTTACGAAGGATTTTGGATTGTAAGGATTGGATGCGAGAGGAATTCGATGGTTTAGTGGAGCCCCATAGCTCAACTCCATAAGTCCAAATAGGTCTTATTATAGTCAAGTATATGAGTCTTGTATATGAGTCTTGAGTTGTAATTAATGGGAAATTTAGAGCGTTTGTCTAGTAAGTGCTAAAGTAATCGGAAACGTCGAGCGGTTTCTTGTCGTTTCAGTCTAGTATGAGGATTCCAAGTTAGTCGTTTGTCCAGGTGGAGTCCTAAGTATCGGATTTGCTCAACAGGGATGAGTGGAGTATTGTTAAAGGAAACTGTAGAACAGAAAGTCGTTGGTTTACGACGAAGGGCATAACCTAGGGGAAAATATGTAATTTTTTAGTTATTCACAAATAAAGTTTGTTTTCTTTCATAACTTGTTTGCCTGAATTTTAGGTGTGTTTGGACTATTTTGCCAGCCTGAAGGAGAAGGAAGCCTTCGAAGTTGGTGGCTCAATCTTGAGATTTGGTGTAGAATTAACGATGATCAAAAACAACATCCATAAATAATATAAACTCCTCCTCTATCGATCATAGCGGCCTCAAGTCGACAAAATGAGACATGTATTCAATGACAGTACTACAATTAACGTAAGGTTGTGTGGATGCGAACACTATGCCTTTCATTATCTCGAAAATAGTACGTTTGTTGGCTTAAAACACAGGATCCGATAGTTCCGAAGAAAACCGTTTTTTAAAAACTGGTTTTAAAAAAATAAAAACAAAAAACTTAAAAGTAGTGGTTTTGTGATGCAAATAATCTAATAAGATTAATATTTGCATTGTACTCGAACTGATAAATGATCCACTCATTTTATGAGTGCCCACCTGATCTATCTCAATTAATTTTTGTATCGATACATTTAAGAGTGTGAATTTTGATAAATTAAAAAAAAATATTAAAATTTTTTAATAGTAACTAGTAGCTATAAATGGGCTTATGCCACTTTCAAATAAATGAAATAATTAATAACTTAAAAATCTGGTGTATCCACACGACTTTCTTGCCTATTTCAGAAAACTTTTGATATCTTTAAATATATCAATTAAGAAAAAAAAAATTGAATTACATTTATTTTTCTGAAAATTGGTTTAAGAAAAGATTTAAGTAGGATTTCTTAGATTAACTAAAGCAATGTAAGCCGGCTTGTGAAAGATCAACGTAAAAAATTCAATACACTCTAATATTGCTAATCAAAAACTTTTTTAACTTAGCCCATTTTTTTTCAAATAATAATTTCTGTTAAAAGTCGAGAGAAAACTTGTTTGATGCGGGCAACAGATTTACACTTACTTTTCTTTGTTTTCTCTCATTCAGCGCTTAGACTCGTATTCTTACATACGGATACATAATTAGGTATCCATCGTCCGTTTATTCCGCAAAATCATCAGGAAATATTTTAGAAAATTAAATTAGTGAATAATTTGATAAATTTTCTCCGTGCGATATTCTAACGGTACCCACTTCCAATTAGTGTGACAACTTTTGACCTGTTTATGACAGACAATACAAATCTCTTAATTCCATTTTAGTAAACTTTGCAATGGAAAATAATAGTTTAATAGCGAATAGTTGTACAAACCATAATCACAGGCGGATCTGCGAGAGAGGGGAGGGCTTTCGGAATGAAGCCCCCCCTCCTCCCAAAATGGTAAACTGTAACCATGTTTTATGGTAAACAATATTAGAAAATTATGTCTTAAAGTATTTTTGCTCGTTTAATTATATTTAATAGAAGTTCAAGAATCACTTAAACACCATTTCTTATAGGTAGTTAGTATCTTGCTGTTTTCCCAAAGTAATTATCATTATATATATATATATATGAAAAAACCTTTCGGGCTGAAGGCCCCCCCCCCTCAAAAATTAAATCCTGGATCCACTTGTGCCCGTTGATATAATAAATAGGACTTTTGTTGTTGTAATGGTATTTATGATTTGTTAGCTGTAATCTTTTAGCTGTAATCTATAATATAAGCGCAATATTGATTGAAACAATTTTTACCGATCGAAGGAGTAAAGTGGTTTGAAATATTTTTAGAAGAAGAAACAAAATTGAGGTTGGTATTTAGCACCTGAGGAAAACAACCCCGATTATGAATTTTCTTAGTAATGGAAAATTAAAAAATATTGGCTTAAATTTTCACTGAGTGAGGAAAGAGGAAAGAAGAAGGTGGGTTCAAATCTTGTTTTGAAAAAAGGTAAGATGGATTTACATTTTTATTTTCCTATAGCTCAAAATGTAAACACATAAATGGTACTGCGCTATTTTCTTTTGTACAGACATTTAAAAGTGAATATATATAGATATATGTAGAAAAAAAAAATAGGGAAATGCAAATTCATTTATGTTTTCCTCAAATGTTCAATAACGATTATGGTTGAATTCCGAAAACTTGGTGGACACTAGTAAATGTAAATATAGAAACAAATAGTAAGTATTTTTAATTTTAATTTTTGAAAAATGGGCTCGAAGTTCAAACGACTCTATAAAGATAAAAATAAGTTTAAACTGGCTCCGTTGGGAGCAGCACCACCGCTGTTCACTCCTTCTGACATGTCTACGTGTACCTTATCTAGAACCTACGTGTCTGTCGGGTAGGTTAATTTGCTTTGATGATTTTCAATTAAGTATTTGTGCTCGTCTTGTTAATGTTTTTCTAAGTTAGGTATTCCAATTCGTAAATTAGTTTGTTGGCTTCTATACTATGATGGTTTTAATAATGCTTTGAAGACAGGACTTAGTTGTTATCTGTTACATTTATCAGATAAGTTTGACTAATCTTTATCGACGAAAATTTAAATGAACCTTGTGTATTAGTGAACTTTAACAATGACGACTTATGAGGAATTCATTCAACAAAGTGAGGAGAGAGATGGAATTAGGTTTACATGGAATGTTTGGCCATCAAGCCGCCTGGAAGCCACAAAACTCGTCGTTCCTGTTGGATGCCTTTTCCAGCCTTTGAGAGAGCGAGTTGATTTACCTCCGATTCAATACGATCCTGTTCAGTGCACTAGAAATACATGTCGAGCAATTCTAAACCCTCTCTGCCAGGTTGACTATCGAGCTAAACTTTGGGTATGTAATTTTTGTTTTCAACGAAATCCTTTCCCACCTCAATATGCTGGTATATCAGAACAACATCAGCCAGCTGAACTTATACCCTCTTTTTCGACAATAGAATATACAATAACTAGAGCTCAGTTTTTGCCACCTATTTTTCTTCTAGTTGTTGATACGTGTTTAGACGATGAAGAACTTGGTGCTTTGAAAGATTCATTGCAAACATCTTTATCTTTACTCCCTCCGAATGCTTTGATTGGGTTAATAACGTTTGGAAGAATGGTTCAAGTTCATGAGCTGTCAACAGAAGGTTGCTCTAGGAGCTTTGTTTTTAGAGGTACTAAAGAACTAACGGCCAAACAAGTTCAAGACATGTTAGGTATCGGAAAAGTCCCAAGTGCTGCAACATTTAATCCTGCTGTTCCCGGACAACCTCCAGGCCAGCAGGCTTTGCCCGCTAATCGATTTATTCAACCTGTTCAGTCTTGTGATATGAGCCTAACTGATCTTCTCGGAGAAATGCAACGGGATCCCTGGCCTGTAAGTACTGGAAAAAGACCATTGAGATCAACTGGTGCAGCTCTAGCTATTGCTGTTGGTTTGCTCGAATGTTCATACCCTAATACTGGTGCTAGAATAATGCTTTTTGTTGGAGGACCTTGCTCACAGGGGCCTGGTCTTGTTGTGAATGATGATCTTCGGGAACCTATTCGTTCGCATCATGATATTCATAAAGATAATGCCAGATACATGAAGAAGGCAATCAAACATTATGAAAGTTTAGCAATCAGAGCTGCTACTAACGGACATAGTATTGATATTTATTCTTGTGCTTTAGATCAAACCGGTCTCCATGAAATGAAATCTTGCTGCAACTCTACAGGTGGACATATGGTGATGGGAGATTCATTCAATTCTTCCTTGTTCAAACAGTCTTTTCAAAGGGTACTCTCTCGTGACCAGGTTGGTGATTTTAAAATGGCATTTAATGGGGTCTTGGAAGTGAAAGCTTCTCGTGAGCTCAAAGTAATGGGGGCTATCGGGTCATGTGTATCATTAAACGTAAAAGGACCTTGTGTAAGTGATAGTGATATCGGTTTAGGTGGTACCTCTCAATGGAAATTCTGCTCTCTAACTCCTAGTATGACCTGTGCATTTTTCTTTGAAGTGATCAATCAACACGGTGCGCCGATTCCGCAAGGTGGTAGGGGATGTATTCAATTTATTACTCAGTATCAGCATGCTACTGGACAAAGACGGATTCGAGTAACTACTATTGCTAGAAACTGGGCAGATGCTACCACTAACCTCCATCATATAAGTGCTGGGTTCGATCAAGAAGCTGCAGCTGTACTAATGGCTAGAATGGTTGTACACCGTGCCGAATCCGATGATGGCCCAGATGTGATGCGTTGGGCCGATAGAATGCTAATTAGACTCTGCCAGAAATTCGGAGAATACAATAAAGATGACCCTAACAGTTTCCGTTTACCAGAAAACTTTTCGCTCTACCCACAGTTCATGTATCATCTTAGAAGATCTCAATTTTTGCAAGTTTTCAATAACAGCCCTGACGAGACATCTTATTACAGGCATATTTTGATGAGGGAAGACTTATCTCAAAGTCTTATTATGATTCAACCTATTTTGTATAGTTACAGTTTTAATGGACCACCTGAGCCTGTACTCTTGGATACTTCTAGTATTCAGCCAGATAGAATCCTACTTATGGACACATTCTTCCAGATTTTGATATTCCATGGAGAGACTATAGCACAATGGAGAGCGCAGAGATATCAAGATATGCCAGAATATGAAAACTTCAAGCAGCTGTTACAAGCTCCTGTAGACGACGCTAAGGATATACTGCATACAAGATTTCCAATGCCGAGGTATATAGATACTGAACAGGGTGGATCACAAGCTAGGTTCCTCCTTTCTAAAGTAAACCCCTCGCAAACACATAACAACATGTATGCTTACGGTGGTGAATCTGGAGCACCCGTACTCACCGATGATGTAAGTCTTCAAACTTTCATGGATCACTTGAAGAAATTAGCTGTATCTTCTACAGCTTAATAGATTTTTTACCAAGATATTAATTTGATATTCATGATTGGTATGTATTATCTTAAATGACCAATTTGTAGCATAATCGGTATGTTTTATAAAATTTAATGATGTATTTACTTGTCTTATGGAATGGTTGGAAATTTAACAATACGTGTATTTGTACATACAAATTATTTTATGGTTACGTACATTTCTTTAATTTGTTCATATCGTTAAAACATATTTAAAATATTAAAGGTATTCTTGATGCATTTTTACTTAATTGGAATTATGTAAATAAATAAAAAGATAATAATGGAAATGCTTTATTTTATATAAGTTGTGTAGTTTTAATAAAATATTTAATATATGTTTTAATGTAAAAAGTCAATCTAGACAAAGAATATTTTATGGTAAAACTTATTATTTTTTTTTCCGAACTGTAACTGTTAGTCTAGAGATAAATTTAACTATGAGGTTAATTTTTAATTTATAATTCATGTATTCCAATGTTATTTGTATGTAAGTGTAAATTAAAGGATTTATTGGAAATTTAAAGGACTGTCTTTCTTTTTTTATTCAATCCTGAAAATTTGTTTAGTTTAATGATTTTTTCATAAATATATTATTTATTTAAAAATGTTCATCCTGAATTAAATGTATATATTTAATATTATCAAAATATCATTCAACATAAAAATAATTAGTATGGTTTATTTACTGTGATAAAATGCTTGATATTTTATTATATTTTTATTTAACTTTGATAATATGGTTCATCATAATTTTTACACTAAAAACTCACACATTTATATCATTTTTATTTAATCAAATATTCTGTCTTAATAGCTTAAATTATTTCTTTTGCAGATTGGTATATTTTTATTCATTTCAGTAATAGCTCTGTAATTTATTTATTGTTTCAAAAACAAAATTCAACTTATGATGTACATAGGTTAGTATTTATAGTTCATTAAGAGATTTCATGTATAAAAACATAAACATAGTCATCCTCATCATTTAATCCATATTAATTTAATTTTAGGATGAATGAAAATAATAAAACGATGAATCAAATATTTATTTATAACTTTATTTTCTGTTTGGGCTTCGTAGTTTCTATATTTTCTTAATTAAAATATCTGATATAAATTTTAACTAGCAAAACTTCTTATTTAATATATAAAAATATAATTAGATATACTGAAAGATTTTTTTGATGTAAATTTTAGGTTCCTAAAAAATATATTAGAATTATAAAAAAAAAAATTAATTCCTTTAACTTCAACTTTATTTTTAAAATTGAAATTAATGTATTTTTTTTTATACACCTAAACATTTTAATAATAAGTTATTATATAAGTAAAGCCCTGAGTATTAATTACCCTAAAATTGTAACTTTGAAATATTTATAATTGATAAAAATAATTTAAATATATTTTTTAAAATTTAAATTAATTCAGTAATGTGGCAATATTTAATATTTTTGATCTGTGAATTAACTTAATATTTGATTATTTATTGTTCTCAAAATTATATAATTCTATTCCTTTTGATAAAATTATTTCTCAATTTTTCAAATTAGTTAAGTATTGTTATTGAAAAAGTATCTACATTTAGATCAGTAGAGCTTAATATTCATTATTAAAGTTTTTTTTAATTTTTATTTTAATTAAATTTACAGCTGTATCACATTAAAAATACAACAAGTAAATGTGACATTAGTAACATGGCATGTACAACATGAAGAGAAACTACCCATTGTTAGAACTCAAATCATTATTAAAGTTGAAATTGAAAATTAATATTCATTGATAAATTCAAATTTATTGTTATAGCAGAACGTGAAGTTGTATGCAGTTGAATCCACAAAATATGCCGTAATATGTAATAAAAAACATCAGTAATAAAACATAATATATGCAGCTAAATAATCTCCGAATATGCAATCATACAACTAAATTATTCAATTACACTAATGTGCTTATGAAAGGTTCTGAACTAAAGAAAATAAAAAAAGTATTTCTTTTTTTTTTTTTTTTTTTTGTTAAAACTAAAGTAGTTGAAACATGTGAAAAACAAAAAATGGTAACTAAAAATATATATTTATTAATGGTTAAAAACATAATAAGAAATACTTTTTAAGAACTAAAATTAGTAACTAATAAAAAGAGCAATATATATTTGTATTAAATTTTATTAAAAAGTAGTGGTTATTAATTCGAAACTCCCTACCTGCTCCCAATTTTACAAAGTATACAACTGTTTATTCAATTGTACTTATTTATTTCATTTTATTTCTAATATCCTTTAATCTCATACTCTCCTAATACTAAATAAATAAAATAAAATATGAAAGTTACTAAAGGGGCATTGTTATAGATAGATAGAAAATAACTTTATTCTGGGATACAGTCCCTTGAGAATAACAAAATAGAACAAAATTAAAAGATTACATCTGTCCAAAATAAAATCAATAGATAAAAAGAAATAATGTAAAGAAAATATAAGATAAGCATTCTATATGCAAAACAATTAACACTATGACAAGACACTTAAAGCTTTTTGCACTGATAAACCAGTATGCACTTTTAAGAAAACAATAAAGAATTAAAAAATAAAAATATATTAAATTCTTCATTAAAATAAGCTTTGTGTTTCTGTTGAGAAAACAGAAAGCTGAACCTGACAATATAAATTGTCTGATTAATATATAAATGTATTTTCATTTAAATGTTGATTAATGTATGAATACATCATCGTCATTTCTTAAGTAACAATAGGCAAGAATTTAGTGGTGTATAAAAGATAATAGGTATAAACTACCAATAGGTGAGTTCAGTGACATCAAGAGTAGGAAAATCTTTACCCTATAAGAAAATTAATATTTCTATCAAAGAATAGCATTATTTGACAATGAATGGCATAAAATAAATGTATGTTGTCACATGGTTAGCAACTATCTGACTTTTTGGGATAGGAATTGGAATAGGAGGATTTTGAATGCGGATATGGATGGGGAATGTCAAATTTTGAGGGGGAAAAAATTCCAGAAATTGACAGAGCAAGCAAGAAAGGAGTTTTGGAATGAGGCAGATCTGTGAGAAGGCATGTAAACGTTATACTATTTGACCATTTAGTAATTCTGAATCTAGCGATTCGCTTTACAAAAAATGTCAACTTTTTGAAGAAAAATTTATCTTAAATATTAATATGAATATCCTAGGTAACTAATTTGAGCTTCAATTGTCAGTTTTCTTAATATTAGTTTTCTGTTTTATTTTTTTAAATTATTTCTAATGGACTTAAAGCTTATTAAACGAGGATGTTTTTCTTCAGACAGTTTAAAATAACAAACTTTATTATTATATTGGAAAGATATGTTGGCTATTATGAATGGCGCGACACTAGTTGGCCCGTGTGAATAATCACATAAAATTTAGTGAAGGAATAGCAAAACAATTTGGAAATAAGTAGATTCTAAGTATTATCTGAGGAAGGAATTAATTATTTTTCTTGTTCAATTTCAATATTCTATTTAACATAGTAGACCAAAATATTTGTACAGATTGCTTAGCTTGGGCATATTTTTAAACACTAACTGGGAAGACAATCAAGCTAACAAAAAGCCTTAATAATGGAATTTTCTAATATATAAAATGTAAGAACAAAAAAAAAGGTCTTTAAAAATAATAAAGTTAATATGTCAGCCAACAGAAAAAGTGTAGGAGAATAACAAATGCAGTATCTTTAAAGATGATGAAATTATTAAGTATACTAAAATTAATGGACTGTATCTTTAATAATTGTCCGATTTTTATGTTGTTTTTTTTTGTTTTGTAAGTAATTTAGTAATCTTTCTAATAATGATTGGTACAATCCAGAAAAAAAATGAATATTTTTTGAGTTATTCACAAATCAAATTTATTTTCCTTCTTAACTTTTTTTTCCCCCAGAAATTGCATGGGTGATAGGAATATTTTTCACACGTGAAGGAGGAGAATATCTTCAAAATGAGTGCTCAATCATCGGATTTGGTGAAGAATTGACAACGTTATGGCGTACCGACAAAAAAACACTTCTTAGAAATAATATATAACATTAAAGATAAAAGTAAACCATATATTTTTCAAGTCAATAAGAAAAAAAAAAAAAAAGACTTTTGTTTTCTCCAAGACAACCTCCTGTTCTCTAAATGTTTAGTATAATAATACGGATATGATCAATTGGTTCAGTAGAAACAATAAAAATAATTAATATAAAATTGATGTGAATAATAATATCATTTGCTATGGTAACATTTTTATATATAATCACTGTTACTGATTTAACCAAATATTGGACAGATATGAAACCTTAACAATAAATAAATGCCTCAAAACTACTTATTTTGTATAATAATCTAATATATTAATAATAATATAATATAATATAATAATCCATTAACAATGTTAAGTAAAATTATGGTAACATTCGTTACGCATAATGTTTTTGACAGCATATTTTGGAAGACAAAATTTATGGTCTTCAGCCAGCTCTTTTAGTCCTAAACACATTGACTGATAGCTGGCGCAACAGACTGATGCTTTTAAACCCTTTTCAGTCATGTTAAATGAACAGTGTTGTAAGAAAAGCTGTTGACATTCATTACAATGTTTTACTCCAAATTTTTGGGACAAACCAATTTTCCTATTTTACAATCTAAGTATTTGAGACAGCTATAATAGGTACCTATAATTCGAAATACCATCATGAAACAGTAAAATTCCTCATGGTTAAAAATTAATGGATTCAGATGTCATATGAAAGCATGAAGAACTTCGCATCCTCACCTTGGGGACATCAACATTCGTTAAGTTTGTTTACATTCACATTTAGATATTTCTTCATGTTATTTAGGTAGATTTATGTTAATGTCACCTTTCCATTCTTTAAAAAGAATACAAAGAATTAATACCTTTGTTTTTTCAATCTGAAAAAAGTGAAAAAGAAATGTATAGCCCAGGGACATCAAATGGTCAGATATTATTAGAATGACCCTAACAACTTTTTTATAAAATAGAAAGATAAAACATTTCTAGATTTGTTTCAGCAAAAAACAAATCTATTATTTAAAATATTTTCGATATGATCTATTTACAATCATATACTTGGAGGAAGCAACTTTATATCAATTTAAAATTATAGACTTATCAATAAAAACTTGTGTTTCACATTAGGTTCAAAAATACACTATTCAATGAATTTTAAAAATGATTTCAATTTTGGAATTGTAAATATCGATACGATATTTCTGTTTTGATGAAAATGATTTTCTTAAAATAATAAACAATTTTACCTCTTATAAATTAAGTATAAAATTGTAGTTGAATGTGGTGTTTAATAAGTTTTAAAATAATAGAAAGTGAATTAGAAGGAGAGCTTACAATAAAACCATGAAATAAAAAATCTGTATTCTAAGAAGTCTAATACTGAACTTATTTTGTTGTTATAATGATGTAGAAATGGTTGACTGTGATATAATATGAGAAGGAGTTGATCGGGGGGTGTGGTCAAAT